TGCGAGCGGGAGCCGGCCCGGAGTGGTTTTAGTGCTGCTTTCAGCCCAGCCCAGACCGCGTACGGCTCTGCGTGTGCCTTGGTCGGCACTGAGGGTGGTCTCCTCAGATCGGCAGAAAGCACGAGATGATTTCTTTGGTTGGAGCTGCTTCTGGCACCAGCTGAGTTTTCGTATTTTGCTTCGAGTTTATCAATACTGCTGCTCTGCTGCAGAATCATTTTTTTGTGCCTTTCTGCATCAGTTCTTATGCCTGTGGATGCTGTAGAGCTGGAGAAGGTGCCTCTGAAATGCCAGCTCCCAGCAGGGAGTTCTGCCGCTGTGGAAAAGTTTGTCTTGTTTTGGGTCATTGAGATTACACTAGCAATCTTTCTTTTCTTTTCTGTAGCTTTTTGTGCCGTGCTGGCCCTCCTGGCAGGGGTTTTGGTGGGTCTGCGCTGGGGTTGAAGCCGGCTCACTGCACGCCTGCCTGTGCCGTGCTGGGGTGGTTTTGGTTACAGCTCAGACAGCGAGGACTTCCTACTTGTTCTTTAATCCGTGTGGCAGCAAAGCATCTTAACTTCTGTAATATCAATTGTCCTGTGGTGGTTTTCATGTAGTAAGAGTAATTCGCTGGCAATGGTTAGTTTGGTGCTACGTGCCATGGGAGGGGTCCCTCTGTGACTCCTCGGGAGGTGTCCCTGTGACCCGCAGCCCTCCTGTGCCAGGGCATATCTCTGCAGGTCACGGTGCTTGCGTGCAGGGGTACCCGAGCAGCTTCAGACAGTGAGCACGCTGCGCTGCTGACCGCCTGTGCTGACCAGGCTGTGCCGTGCCGTGCAACTGCATCCATGCTCTGCCGGGAGACGGGAATGAGTGCGGTGGGGACACAGGATTATGAAACTCCTCGCAGAGGATAAAGCCATAATTATCTAACTTTATGTCCTTTATCAGGAACTCCAGCCCTCTTTTACATCCCAGCAATAGACGTGCTTCGGTTTTGGACTGCAGCCCTTCGGTTTCCCTGCACTGTCCTTACAGCCCCACGAGCAGGGCTCAGCCTGACGCCCTGCACTCCTCCTGCATCCAGCATCCTCTCTGTCTCGCCTTTGCCCGCAGAACAACATCTGTTGCCCTCCACGTTTTGGGTGCTGCTTCGGTGGCCGTCCTTGCCGCCGACTCGCCGGGCCACCTGCTCGCAGCAGAGCCGGCCGGTCGGAGCGGGCCTGCGGAGGCTTGCGCTGTGTCAGGGCTCCCGTCGGGGACTGGGAGCAGGGTTGCTAAGAGTTGCTTTTTTGCTCAGCCGTGATTAAGCATTCATAGCAGCAAATCCCTATGCTGTTGCTATACTTAACATGCCAAACTCAATTATATTGAGAAGAGAGTTTAAAAACAGGCTTTTGTCTAATGTACAGTATTTTGGCAGCAATTAGCTCCAAGTTTTATCATTTTCCCCAAGGTGAACATGAGAATGATCAGTTATGCGTGAGAAGCTGCTCCATCGTGAGAGAGGAAGGCAGCTTCCTAGCAAGGATAAAAGGGTTTGCGCATACTGCCGGGCAAGTTTCTCAGTGCCACCTTGCTTGAACGTCCATCTGTATTTGATAACTTTGGGAAATGGTTTCTTTGTGTAAAAAGCACTTGTAGGGTGGTTCACAAGGCGAGGAGGAAAGCACTGAGGACAAGCAGTGGCACAGGACCTCTGACCACTTCTTTCCTGGGGGCCACCGCAGCGCCCAGGTTTTGCCATCGGTGGGGCCCCTGTGGTCATGCTGGCCCTGGGGCTGAGCGGGTGACCAGGAGGATGTGTGCTTTTGGGTGATTTTTTTTTTTCCTCTGTCCTGTCTGAGAAGATCCTGTGCCCTTCCCAGTGAAATGAAGGGTATTAAACCCTGGTGACGTGGTGAGGGTCCGGCACAGGGTCACTGTCCTGTCTGGCTAGTTGTTCCCTGGTACCTCTTCTCCTTCAGTCCTCTTTCCTTCTTGCCTGCTCATGTGGTATTGCAGTACGCTGTTAAATGTACCCTGATACGACAGGGCTGGTGTTTCTCTGGGACATACAGTGCTTTTTTTGGCGTTTAATGTACACATGACCCTCCAGAACAAGGATGGGAGTGTTTGAGTGATCAGATCCTTTCTCGGTGTTTCGCAGTGCTGTGATCTGGGATTCCACGCCAGCCTCGCTCGGACCTTCAGGACATACCTGTCTGCCGAGTACAACCTGGAAACTTCCCGCCATGAGGGCCTGGACATCATCGAGAATGCCGTGGACAACCTGGATGCGCGGAGTGACAAACACACCATCATGGACATGTGCAACCAGGTCTTCTGCCCTCCACTGAAGTTCGAGTTCCAGCCTCACATGGGCGATGAGGTAGCGTACTCGCCCGCGGGGCTGCAGAGGTGCCTCGCAGCCTGGCCTGGCTTTCTCTTCTTCACCGTCACTCTTAGATTACTTCTGGCTCCTTATCTCTCTGTGCTGTCTTCACACACTGCTACTCGTGTTTCCTTTCTTAATGAGACTCTTGGCTCGTTAGGGCCCCTCCTTTCAGTCTGCCTCTCGCTTCGTATCTCTCCCAATTAGGAAGCCTGTGGTTTGATTCTCAGCTGAACTGCCCGACAGATTTGTGAAGTGCAGCTTTGATTTACCAGCTGTAATTCGAAGACTTCAGATTGCAGCTTTCAGATGCTGGGTGGAAAATGCTTTGTGCTGGCCTGGGCCCAGGGCACTGCTGATTAGAAACTGGGCGATGCAGCCTCCCTGGAGGCTGGCAGGAGCTTGTGGGTGCTGGGGAGAATCATTTAGGTATTGAAATGTGTACATCTGGTCAATGCACAGCCCACTGAATGCTCTCCTGTCTCTCTCTGGCACCGCTCCTGTCTCAGGTGTGTCAGGTCAGCGCCCAGCAGCCTGTGCAGACAGAGTTGTTGATGCGGTACCACCAGCTGCAGTCGCGACTAGCCACCCTCAAGATAGAGAACGAAGAGGTAAGAAGTCGCTCTGGGTCTCGTGTTTGGCCTCGTAGGCAGCATTGCTGAGCCTTTTGCCTGTTACATGGGGGTTTCCTGGTGTGCTCAGGTGTGGCGTCCTGCCAGCGGCAGTGCTGAGGGTGACCGCAGGTAGCACAAGCGCAAACCCTGTGCTTGGGAGCTGCTTTTTGGCCAGTTGTTTTGGCTCAAGATGCGTCACTCCCAGTCTGCTTCAAAACCATGCTATCTTATGTTTCTGCTAGGTACGAAAAACTCTGGATGCCACAATGCAGACTTTGCAAGACATGCTGACAGTGGAAGATTTTGATGTTTCAGACGCCTTCCAGCATAGTCGCTCCACTGAGTCGGTCAAATCAGCTGCATCAGAGACCTACATGAGTAAAATAAACATCGCCAAGAGGAGAGCCAACCAGCAGGAAACTGAAATGTTCTATTTTACAGTGAGTCTCATCTCCTGTGATACAGGATACAAAGCATTAATTGCTAGGACTGAGTCCCATTTTAAGTGCTCGTTAGTGAAGAGCAAGAACCAATTCAGTCTCTTTAAGTATTTGTCTGCTGTCAGATTTGGGTTTGGAATGCGTTTTTCAGTGGCAGGGCAGTGCGTAGGGAGTGACAATCCAGTCTCTGCCTTGTTCGTTTTGAAGGAACAACTGGAGCAACCGGCTGTGACCAAGAACTTTCAGAACTCGGTAGGAGTGGCTCAGAGCAGGGCAGCAGAGCCCAGCCAGCCTCGCCGTGTGTTACCATTCACTGGCCCTTCCTGGAGGCCTTTACAATTTTGAGCCATCAGCCAAGCCTTCCTTTTCTGACTTACACAGCTAAAATTTGCCCTTGGCCCACGGGATGAACTAAAGTCATTTGCAACTCATGCAGGGCGTTGGAGAAAGCTGCGACAGCCTGGCTTTGCGACGCCGCGCTGTTGTGTGCGTGCTGGGTAGGGGCAGCTGTGCTGTGTCTCCCTGCAGCCTTGCTCCTGTACTTCACTCCCAGGCAGATCTAAGGTTCTCTGTTCTAGCGCTAAAATATCAGTAATAAGCCATCAGTTCAGCAGAAGTAGCCCTCATTTAAGCATTGATAGTAGGCTAAAGTTAATAGCATCTTGTGATATATTACAAAAGTTCTACTTTCTCTTAACAGTATTATTATTCCAATTCGGGGGGGGGGGGGGGAATATTGCAATTTTCATTTAGCGTTGTGCTTGGGATTTTTTTAAATGCTTTTTGCAAGAATGTGATCTTTCCCATTCTGTGTTTCATTTTCCATCTCTGTCTCCCTCGCTCCTCTTAGCTGTAAAATTACTTGCTCTGCAGTGTTACCGGGTGTCAAACAGTCTGACAATGAAATGGGAAGTTGTGCTGCACAGTTAGTGTCTCCCAGTGCATAAAGCATCTGATGGTCCCTGACCTGGGAAGGTCTTGTGCGCTGGGAATTCTCGCTCTGTGTCATTTGTTTGCACAAAGGCAAAGCCTCTTTGATTTTCCAGGCCATTCCCAGAAGCTTGACAAAAGAAAGCTTGCTTTGAACTCTTTTCTTTGGACCTCCTTGCGTTCCCAGGCAGGAGGTGCAGCACCGAGGAGACCGGGCTAATAAGATCATCAGGACTATGGCTGGAGCAGTGAGAAGAGATTAAAGCGTGCTCAGCCCTGCGGCGCATCTGACGTCTGGTTTGTTAGAGCCTGCCAGCCTCGCCGAGCCCGCCTCCAGCAGCCCCCCAGGCAAAAGTGTACATCAGTTACGGACTGTTTTTGCCAAGTGTCTTAACCCACCTTTGTTTTATTTTTAATTTCAGAAATTTAAAGAGTATTTGAATGGCAGTAACCTTATCACCAAGCTCCAGGCTAAACACGACTTGCTGAAGCAGACTCTTGGAGAAGGTGAGTCACAGGGTTAGGTCCAGGGAGGAACCCCTGTCACATAAGACTATTTTAAACCAGATGTCATCTTTCAGTCTTACCTGCTGTCTGTGTTTTCCCGAGTGACTGATGGCTTCTGTGGTTGGCTGCTACTACTGAGTTTAACCAGTGACATGCAAAATCATTATTTGCTTGGACTACCTTTTCCCACCTTTCTTTGGAAGTGCACATAGAGAACTTTGTTGGAATCTTACACTGTGTGCCAAAGTGCTGTGTTACTCCTCCAGCAGCAAAGAGATTCCTGCCCACTCCAACCCTCTGCCTTTTTGCTTTCTCTCCCCCTGCTTCCCCTCGTAGCGCAGCCCTGAACACATGTACTTTCTCGTCCTTGATGCTGTGCTTCTGTGTCACAGACTTGCCAGAAGCCTTGCTGATTTAATAGGCCTCTTGCCCCGCTGGCCATAGGTTTTTGTCTTGCTCTAAAGGAGAACTGCAAAGTCATCCTTGTTTTTAAAGTAACTTTTCCATTGCAGGCTTTTATTACCCCAGGTAATTTCACAAGTTTAGTTTAGAGCACATCCACACAAACAGGCTTCATACAACAGAGAGGGAGTAACTTCTGAGGGAGGCAGGAGCAAGTGGCTCCAGGTGGCATCTGCCGCTGCTGGGGTAGTGATGTGCAACCATGTCCCTGGGAGAAGATTTTTAGCTCTTTTAAAAAGTTTTTAAAAAATTGCATTATTTCCAGCGTAAAGAGGATGGAGATGAGTTAGTGCCCTGGTTGTCCAACAGGAGAGAATATGTTTAAATTAAAATACACAAATGTCCATGGTCTTGTTTGAACAATACAAAAATTGGACTCCTCATCTTAGAGTTAAAAAAAAAAAATAAAGCTTTTTGTTGGCTATTTTGCCAAACATGTTTTCTCTGCCAAATTTATTTAGCCTTAAAATCCACCTTCTAGTTAGATCTTGTGGTGTGTTCCGCTCAGTGAACACTGGGCCAAGTCAAGGCACAAACGCAAGGAAAGCTGCAAGGGTAGGTAGGTAGGGCTCCATTAACCCAGGAGTGTCAGTGCTCCCTGTAGCGCCTTAACCCCTTATCACCCTGCAGCGGCGGGTCAGTGACAGCCCGGCTGCATCCTCGCCGAGGCAGTCAGTCCTGTGTGCCGCACCGGCGTGGCGGGGGTCGTGGGGGGCTGCGTGGGTCCCTGCGTGCTGCCCGGCAGGGCTCCCCTGCGGGGGCTGCGGTCGGGCTCCGGAGCATGTGCTTCGCAGAAACTGGACCCATCTCAGCTCTTCCCAGAGATCGCAGATCCTAGTGCAAATCTTAGAGCTATGTTTATTGGGTGCACTGCTAAGGCTCCTGTGGATTGGTACAAGAAGTGATGAATCTTGAGGATTAATTTCATCGCTGTCCTGCTCTCTCACACAAGAACCATATTAATGCCATACCTAGGAGGAAGAGTGCAAGGACAGGCATTTTAATTCTCTAGAGCTGTGCGAAAGCAGCCGTGGAAGATTTTCACGTGAAAACTTTCTGAAATTCTCCCAGGCCGTGGGATCATCCTGCTATGTAGGCGTTCGGCAAATATTTAGCCCAGAAATGCCAAATGCTGCATTTCAGCATGAGCTGATTCTCATTAGGAAGAAGTCTGGATTTGCAAAACGCTCGTGTGGAATTCTTGGCTTTTTCAGTGAGGAATTGGCTGCAAGCGTCCTTTCCGCAGGTGCCAAGGGAGAGCAGGAAGGAGGCATGTGCAGCCAAATGCTTCCTTTTATGTTGTCAGAAAAAGGAAGAATAAATCAGCTTTCCTGGCCTTGGGAGAAAGGCACAAACAGCATATGAAATTAGTTTAGTTTTTTTCAGTGGACTGACAAATACTTTAAAAAATGAACAGATCTTATCAGTGGTGATAGGCTGCCATTTATATGAAATCCAAGCGCTAAGAATACACAAAGGGAATGAGAATATTGACAGCCAGAATAGAGTCTGCCTGATGGTGATTAGATGGGCTGTTATCTCGCGGGAAAAGCCGGGGAACTGAATACTCCGCTGCATTCAGGTGCTATTAGAGGTCCTCCATGAGGCGGTCGGGTAATCTCTGCAGCCTCCTGGGGGCCGCGGCCCCTATCAGACGGCCCCTCTCCTGCTTGGCTTTAGCCAGTCCCAGCTGATGTAGCTGGCCATTTGGTGCAGAGGACCTGCCCTGCATCTGGTTCTTTACAAGATGGGCTTCGTATTGCAAGTAAACCTTTAATATCAGTGGGAATTGAAGACGTTTTCCCTTTCTTGTGGTTGAGTCTTGGATTTCTAATATGTCTTTTAGTGGTGGGGGCTTGTATAGCAACCATCTCAGCATCTCCCCCACCTGCAGGGCCCTCAGGCACATTCAGCTTCTTTTTGCCAGAAGCCATTAACTGGGGGCTTACATGACCAGAGGTGAGTGTGCGAGTGCCGGTGCGAATGTGTGTTAACGGTCATTTGGTGGTGACTAATGTGGAGAGATGACGGAAACTTGTGTTTCTTACAGGTGAAAGAGCTGAATGCGGAACAACCAGGTGAGCAGTTTCTTCCACTTCATCTGCTTCTGGGCAGGGCTGGCTCTGGCAGGAGGAGGGTGGCCGTGGGAAGGGGGCTTTGCTTTGCGACTGATACAGCTTGGTGGGGTCCAGATTTAGCCATCTTCCAGCCGCCCCGTGCTGGCAGGTGGGAGGGCAGGCAGTCCTGGGCTCCCCACATCACTGCCCTGCTTCTCAACTGCATTGCCTGAAGTGGATTAATTAGGGCGATGACAAACAGGCCCTTGTTTTTGCTGCAGTGGAATTTCTAACTGGCTGGCTCTGGAGGGCCTGGAAGTGCTGTCTCTGCAAGGCGGTGCGGTGCCTTGTTACATAGCTGCGATGGGGTTGTGTTCAGACAGTGCGACACAAGGGTGTCCACCCGCTCCCTACCATCCCTCTTCATTTGAGGACTTTGATATGTCCCGAAAACCTCTGCCAGCTCTGGCTTCTTTTCCTAGGAGTGCAGAGCATGCCTGTATTTGAAGACTTTCATGCCTCTACAGCAGGGGATAGTGCCAGGGGTGAATGTAAGAGGGAGGCAGCTTTGATCTGTGTCCAGTCCATAAACCATCTCCGTAGAGCTCTGGTGGCTTTCTGACAGTGAGACATGGGCCAGCAAAGCCTCCAAACATCTCTCCAGAACACGTACAACCTCTCTCTGTGTTATCTTTTTACAACCCTGTTTCAGCATTCAAAAAAATTTGCAGTACCAGCAAAAAAACCCCATTCTGTGTTAGAAATGCTGAAGCAGATGGTGAACCCTGGGATGCCCGTGGAGGCAGGAAGGAGGCTGCCTTAGCAGAGGGCAGCAGGGCGGCAGGGTGCCTTGCTGTCTCGCCTTCGGGCTGGAGGGGGACTGTGCTGCGGGCGCCGGGCTGAGAGCGGTGTCAGGGCCGGGCACCCGTGGGGGCTGCAGCGCAGGGCAGAACGAAGAGGGGCCTTTTCTGCCTTGCATAGGCCAGAGTGGGGGCTGCACGCTGTGTCGCTGCGCTGAGGGGCTCCAAGGAGCCGCTCTTGACTGTGCTCCCAGGTCCCCTTCGGATCACGGCAGCCGCTCGCCCGCTGCGGTCGGTGCCTCTCCCCGTGGGTCCCAGGAGAGCTGCTCTACAGCACCCTGCCGCCCTGCGTGCCCCGGCCGTGCTGGTGGGGGTACAGACACAGCGTGGGAGGTGAGCTCTGGTCCTTTGGGTGTGCCAGGCAGGGCTGTCTGCTGAGCTGGCGGAGGAAAGCACACCCAAACGGCTGGGTAAAACCGTAGGGAGAATTTGCTCTTGAATGCTTTGTTTAGCAGGAGTGGGTGCCCGTGGGGTGCTGGTGTCGCAGGCCAAAACAATCAAAGGAATGAATAACAGCCTCCTACGTGAGGGATGATGGCACAGCTCCCTGCTGCTTCTGTTTGCTTTTGTTTCAGCAGTCGCTTTTACTTCACAAAGGAAAACAAACAAGAGACAATCTCCTTCTTGTGGGGGGCAGTGCCGTAAGCGCAGGCAGAGCATCCTTCCCACCAGATACAGCCGCAGGCCAGGCTGCCCCGGCCACCTCGCGCTAGGGCATCATCGCCCGGGGAGGGGAGATTGCACAGCAGCAAACAGCACTGGGCCTCTGGTCCACAGCACGGGGCTGCTCGGCTGAGAGTCAGCCGGGCACTCGAATGGTCAGCACTCGCTTCTGCTCCTCTGCCACCACTTGAAGGAGTGGTTAGAAGCTGTAGGAGTGTGAAGTCAAATTGTTTTAATTAAAGGCATCTGATCAGGGAACGAGCAGATCACAACTGTCACCTTTGCATCGTAGCTCTGTGTAAATTGTACGTGTCCATTCGACTCTGCTCTGTGAGAACTTCTGCATGAAGGCTCCTAGCACTCATTTTTGTTTGCATTTGCAGTCACGATCTCTCCTCTACAGACATCAATATAGCCTGAGGGTAGAGGACAGATCGGAAATCGGTTAGAGATTTTATGCTATTTTGCTCCCGTTTTCTAGATCTAGACACTTTGGACTTAATGTCCTTCAAGGAGAAATCACAATGTGAATAGCAGCCCTCCAAAGTCCTGATCACTGCACTAAAATAAGTCACGTGTTTCCGTGGCCTCATTTCCAGAAGCAATACCTGTTACCCTTGCTGAAGTCAACAGGGTCTTCAAGGTCTGTTCCCCGTGACTGATGAGGACCCCCAGTCACTAGCTAGTTAGGGGTGGGGTCACGCCACTTCCTAATGCCCATGCCTACCTTTTCTGTTCTTACAGAGATGCTGGTGGGTTTGCTCCTCTGTGTTGACTGGGCTCACCTTTTTGTTCAGCGGTTTCAATCTTGGGAATGCCTCCCAGACAGATGAAAGATCATTCACATCCCTGTGAACATCTCCCAAACAGAGGGTAGCTACAGGGAGGTGGAGGTGTTCCCACTTCTCCTCTTTCTGGCCATCTATGAGCAGAATGAGATCCGTTTAGGAAGACGCAGGAATATCCCAGTGTTTTCCAGGGGTAGCTGTAGTTTATTTTGGATACATCAAGGTATCAGCGGAACTCTTCAGCTGCTTTTGGCACTTTTTCAGGCCAATGGAGTGCTGAAGTGGTGGAGGTAGGAGGCAGGTGTTAAAAATCCTGCTGAGCACTAATGCCTTCGTCTTACTTCTAAAATGTCATCCCTGGTACTAGCACAAACACCGAGCAGGAGCAGCTTTGGTATTTGGCATCTCAGAGAGGGAGAATTGTGTCTGCAGAGCGTGGGTACCCGTGACAGTTGTGACCAGCTGTGTTTAGCAGCTTTGTTACTCTCTGGCTTGAATGAAGCAAGCTCTGCATGAAGAGCGTTCCTGATCATCCAAGCTGTAGTTGTTGGTATAGTTAGTGCTCTGTCACTGGCCGAGTTCTGGAGACGACTGTTCTTTACAGTAGGAGCTAGGACTCTTCAGGAAGGCCCGTAGCAACACCTATAGTTCGGTCACTGTATGTGGCTGCAGTTAAGGTTAGAGTCTTTCTGATGGGGAGATACTGGAAGATTATGGGGATGGAAAGTAATGGGTAGGTTGGCTTATTGCTGTTAAATGTTTCTATTATCAAGATTAATTTGAATTTATTACTTAAATAAAGACTGCAGTCTTGACGTTGACTCGAAATGATGTATGCAGCACATAGTGAACAGCTCTGATCTTGCTCCGGGCTGCCTACAGGTTAGCTCTGCTGCCCGTTCAGACGCCTGCCAGCTGCACCCGGGCTCAGCCTGGCCTTTGGGACTTGCAGGAGCGAGGCCGTGGGGGCACTGGCTCCAAAATGAGTTAGCCAAGTTAGTGCTAGGGTAGCTCGCCCCAGGCTGCTGGCAGGAGCTGCGGAGTAAGCAGAGGGCATGTCCCCAGGGTCCCCGGGTGCTACGCACAATGCGGAGGTGCAGAGCCGAGCTCTTTGCCGGTCCCCCAGCTCCCGGTGGAGCGGTGTCCGCGGCGGGGATGTGGGGTGGGAGGGGACACTGAAGTGTGAGCGGCTGCAGAGTGCGTGGAGCCACATGTCGAGTCCTCACAGAGGGATTTTTCTCTTTGATTTATTTCTTGTTCTTGGTCATAACCTTTGAGATCTCACCCTGTCATTGCATTTATGTTGGTGTTTTGTTGATTTATTTTGTTCCATTTTCTCCCAGGCCCCCATGTCTTCCCCCTAAGCCACAGAAAATGAGGAGACCTAGGCCTCTCTCAGTCTATAATCATAAACTCTTTAACGGCAATATGGAAACATTCATTAAGGTACTTGCTGGCTGACAGTAAGAGTTTATGAACGCTGTGAATGTAATGGTGGCTTTCCTGTCCTAACTGCTGGCTGCTTTCCTCCCTTGGCGAGGTCTCTCCGGTCCGCCCTGCACCCAGTTGACGTGGCCAGCACACGCTTTGCCTCGGTGACGATTTCTCTCCATGGCCGCCCTCGCCCCTCACGCGTTCCTGGCGTCACCCGCCCCATTGCCGCCTGCGTGCCCGGGAGCGAGGGTGGCAGTGAGGAC